GGCCCCGGACTTTGCAACAAGCTGTTTCCTCTGCGCAGTTCCAGAGGGGGCAGGTGGTGCCGTCCCTCTGCCTACCCTTTAGGAGCCCTGGTGGTCACCATTTTTTAGAAGTCAGCGACAAGTTCCAGGTATGAATGGCAGTGGCGGCAGACACCAGGCCTCACAGGACAGGGGAGGAGTCGGCCCTTCTCCTTCCCCCCCGCCCTGATGGGACTCTGAGATGACGCCACACCCGGCCATTGTCTACGTAAGCTCCCACACAGTCATGATCCAGAGACACACAAACAAATCTCGAACACAAGCAACTTGCTGCAGCGATCTCTTCAGACCCTAATTATTAAAATTTTAGAATTCCTAGAGCGTGTGGCCACAAGAGTGGCCACGCAACATTTTATATTGTATATATGTCCATAACAACGGTCACGGTCCTCCCATTGTTCATCGATTTGCTCAAGTGGGCTTAGTAATGTCTCCTTCATGCGACTTGTTGTTACTGTGTTTGGCATATTAAATACGTCACGGGTAGCTTGCCAGGCTCTGCCGTGCAGGCGAGATACTCTCGGTAGCTTGCCAGGCTCTCCAAGAGGGGCGGAGGAATCGAACTCGGGTTGGCCACGTTGGCTGCGTGCAAGGCAAACGCCCTACCCGCTGTGCTATCGCTCCAGCCCATGTCCATAACAAACAATACAAAAGACATTGTCTAACATTGCCTTTTCTGCGAGTATGAGTGGTCTGGTCTCGAAATATTGAAGGTAACTAAAGTAGAGAAAGAGAGTATGGTGCAAAGTGTCTGCCACACAGGCCGGGGGTGGTGTGGAATGGGGCGGTGGGAGGATACTGGGAATTTTGGTGGTGGAAAATATGCACTGGTGAAGGGATGGGTGTTTGATGATTGTATGATCGAACCTCAAACATGAAAGATCTGTTACTGTACCTCATGGTGGTAAAGGTAAAGGTAAAGGTAAAGGCCCTCCCATTGATCGTCAATTTGCTCGAGCGGGCCCAGTAACGTCTCCATTGGAGACTTTGTTGTTACTGTGTTTGGCATATCGAATGGGGGCAAGGAAGCTAGCACAGGCATGGGGACACTTAGTTCGCATTGCTGGGACTCTGACTTGAGCCCTGGCACCACATCGGCCCCCTAAGAATCTCAGGTGCAGCTGTACAGGCCCCCAGTACCACTCAGTGGTCCAAGCAGTACCAGGGTCCTCGGACCCTGGCATCAAACCACTGGCCCTGTTGGCTGAGCATCACTGGGAGGTGCCTGGTACCCTGAATGCTGCTCAACACTCCCCTGAAAGGGTAGGAGGTGTCGTTTTGGGGGGTGGGTTGGGCCACACCTAGCCCAGGGCTTACTCATGGCTCTGTGCGGTACTCAGGGGACTCTACGTGGTGCCAAGAATGGACCTTGTATTGGTTGCATACCAAACAAGCCCCTTTCCCTCTTGTCCTCTCTTGGCCCAAAGGGCAGGATATTCTTGGCTAGTCCAAGCCTAGAGCCAGGGTAAGTGAGTGTGTAGCATGGGGAACTCAGCCCCTTCCAGCCGTGGAGCCCCCAGACCCCCCACCTGCACTGTCCTCCAGGCTTTACTTGTAAGGGAGGATGCCGAGGTCATGAGAGCCACTACGTGTGGGCAAAGGCCTCACCCTGGATTCCCAGAGCAGGACCAACGGCCCCAACCTGGATCTGCGAGGCCTTGGGACAGTGCTGGGAGTTTTGTAGCTCGGCCAGACTCGGAACTGCTCCTGACCTCTCCCGAAGTCTCCCCGGAGATCACAGCCTGCTGGGGAGATGGGGACAGCCAGGAGCTGATCTGGGCATGGGACGTCTGGATGCAAAGTGTGCAGGGCACGTCCGCACCCAGAGGGGCTGGAGGACTCAGAGGCTGGCCTACATCCCTGAGCCTGTAGGGCGTCACCCTGTCATGGTCGCCGAGCTGCATGCACTGGGCACGCTCTCCTGGAATCCACACGCCAGCCCCTGAAGGAAGCGAGACAGACTGCAGACAGGATGGGGAAACTGAGGCAGCCAGCGGTGAATGGGATTAATTGAGGTTGTGCAGTCAGCGGGGGAAGACTTGGGGGTTCAGACACAGTCCCCCACACTCCAGAGTTCTCCGGCCCTCCTCTGCTCTGCCCCTGGCTCCCCCAGTTGGATAGGGTTGGGGGGCTTCCTGCTTATAGCCCCCTCCGGGGGGAGGGTCTCCTCCTGAAGTGTGCTAACTTCCCCTCTCAGCTCTGCTACCCGCAGCCGGTAACCTCAGGACTGATCCTGTTTAGTGATGGGTGAGGGGAGAAACAGCACAAGGCCTGGCCTGGTGAGTGCTAGGTACCCGAAAGCCAGACCTAGAGCCAGACCATAGCTATGACAGGCCACAGCTCACATTAAGTTTTGATTAGGCCTAAATGTCTGTTTCCCAGAAACTGAACTTGTAATTTCTGGTAAGGAACTGCTAGATCATCTGACTGGTCATGAGGGGGTCACTATGGCCATTTTTTTTTTTGGAACAACTAGAAACTGGCTAACTGTTATCCAATGTTGACTAATCATTGATGACTGTTGCTTGATCACTGCTATCATAGTGCTTGCTCAACCTTGGAACCTACATAGTGCTTGCACTGGGAGGTCGGGGTCGCTATCGAGAGACCACTTTGTGGGTGAGGTAGTTGACCCCAGTTAGGTGGAGTAAAACTCCTTTGCACTTGCATGACTGTCTCTCTGACTCTGTCATTCACACCGTGACCCGAAAACCCGGGTACAGCAGTGAGCAGGCACAGACACATCCAAGGCTCCCTTTGGGGGCGTTTCTAAGTGCAGAGAGAGGATCTGATGTCTTTTCTCTTGGACTCCTATGAAAGCCAGGCCTTGGGGACCCATGAGGCACAGAGGCTTTGGAGGGCGGTTCTCCTTCCCTGGCATGGGACCCTAATTCTGAAGACAGGTGGGAGTACTGTACACAACCACTGGGCAGGGTTTCACTGGGACCCCTGAGTTCACCCCACAGGAGGACCCCAACTGTGGGACAAAGGTCTCGATCATCGCCAAGTACTCAAGGGAGAGGGGGACCCCCATAAGGGGCTTCGTGGCTCTCAGTCTGGGATGGACGGTGTCTCTGCCTTCAACCCTGAGGGTCGGTCCAGCTGAGCTGAGCGGCCAGGGCCAGAAAGCCAAGATTCTGGGCATCCACCAGCACCTCTCAGCCCCCAGAGCTGGAAGACGCTTCCCAAACAAGGTTCTAGGAAGTGAAAGTGAAGCGGGGCCTTTTGCTCCCTTGGAAAGGGCTGACCGAGCCTGAAGACAGAACAATCTGAAAGGCAAATCCAGTCTGGGTCCCTGCCAGCCAAGCCTCCAAGCAGGGAGGGGCAGGGTGACAGGTAGGCGGGAAGGGGGAGGCATACCAGACACTAGGAGGGGCACTCGCTGTCGCCAGGCAGAGGTGCTGACCGGGGAACCATGTCCTCCTGGCAAGAAGCAGAGTCTGTGTCTGAGTCGAGAAGCTTCCAGCAGCCTGGAGTCTTTTTTTTTTCTTTTTGGGTCACATTCAGCGATGCACAGGGGTTACTCCTGGCTCATGCACTCAGGAACTATTCCTGGCAGTGCTCAGGGGACCCTATGGGATGCTGGGAATTGAACCCGGGTCAGCCATGTGCAAGGCAAACGCCCTACCCGCTGTGCTATCGCTCCAGCCCCGTGCCTTGTGTTTGTGTTTTTGTGCTTGGATTTCTGGAAGAGGCAGGGGGTTAAATCCATGACCATTTCCCAGGGAAAGGGTTTCTGGGATGGGGCTGGTTTGCCTGGGCTTGGCCATCCTGTCTCTCCATTCCACTAAAGCCTTGGGGTGAGATTCTCACTCCCGTCTCCACCCCAAATCCCACCCCCCCAAAAAATATCTCTTTTACTCAGCCCACCAATCTCCCATGAACTGGCTGTCGGTCCAACTTTGCTGCCTTTCTCATCTTTTCTTTTCTTGGCTACGTTTTTGGGGGAGGGATTGTTTAGGGGTCACACCAACTCTGTTCAGAGTTTACTCCTGGCTCTGCACTTGGAGATCACTCCTAGCAGGAACTCAAGGGACCATATGGGATGCCCAGGATCAAACCCGGGTCAGCTGCATGCAAGGCAAGCACCTTACCCTCTGTGCTCTTTCTGGCCTCTCAAATCCTTTCTTACAAATGTGCCTTGTGCACCCCTGGGCACCCCTGTGTGCATGCTGGCCCCATTCCCCTCCTTGGCCTTCTCCTCCTTCTTTTCTGCCTTTTTCTCCCTTTGGGCAGGGAGGGGGCTGAAGCAATAGCACAGCAGGTAGGGCGTTTGCCTTGCATGTGGGCAACCCAGGTTATATTCCCAGCATCCCCTATGGTCCCCTGAGCACCGCCAGGAGTGATTCCTGAGTGCAGAGCCAGGAGTGACCACTGAGCATCACTGGGTGTGACACAAAAAGCGAAAAAAAAAAAAGAGAGAGAGAGAGAAAAGAAACACTCCTGGCAGTGCTTTGGGGACCATCTGGGGTGCTGGGGCTCCAACTGGGGTGAGCCACATGCAAAGGAAGTGCCTTAATCCGGGCTCATCATTCTGGCTCCCTCTTCTGCCTTTGCAGTGTTCTTTTCAAAGCTGCCTCTTGAGAGGTGAGAGCTCCTGCTGGTGCTTCTTCACTGCCAGGATTGCTGGAGAGGGTCAGCTAATCCAGCAATCTGTCATTCCATGCTCTTTTCCTGCTGCTGCTTTTATGTACTGTTGCTAGGGGTGGGGCGGGGAGGGGGACAGGAGGTCCTCTGGGGCCACTCCCGACTCAGACAGAGATGACCATGGAGTGACAGGGAGGAGGGCCAAGGGGAGGAGGGGGATCAAAGCCTGGGCTCCGGGGCATATGCTAAAATTGGATCCCTCGGGGTGGAGAATGGGCATGGGTGGAGGGATGGGTACTCGATCATTGGATCGTTGTTTGACTGAAACACAATCATCCAAGTTTATAAGTCTGTAACTGCATCTCACGATGATTCATTAAAATAAAAAATAAATAAATAAAATCGGATCACGACAAGAAAGGATTAGCCCAGCCCCTGCATAAGGAGGACACACAAATTAGTGAAGCATCCCCCATTTTCTTTTTTTTTTAATTAGTGAGACATCATGAGGTACAGTTGTAGACTTACAAATTTTTGTGCTTGGGTTTCGATTATACAATGATCAAATACCCATCCCTCCACCAGTGCCCATTTCCCACCACCACGGATCCCAGTATCCCTCCCACCCCCCATCCCCACCATCCCACCCTGCCTCTGTGACAGGGCATTCCCTTTTGTTCTCTCTCTCCTTTGGAGTGTTGTGGTTTGCAAAAGAGGCAATGGCATCCCCTATTTTTCAGTGATGGTTGCCGCGACCTGGGAACGGAGTTCAAGCGAACCACACACCTCATCCACTTGGACCCGGGCTCAGTCCCAGCAGGCTTGGGAGGGGGCAAGTTCCTTGGCAGCCTTCTGAAGGACCCACCCTGCCCCCCACCCCCATGCCTGTGGAGGCGGGGCTGCTCCCAGCTAACTCCTCCTGGACGGGAGCCGGGACACCTCCAAGTGCAGAGGGACAAAGCTGCCAGGTGACATCCTGAAACACCAAAATCGCACCCGGCAAAGGTGCGAGCTGCGTGGAGATGTGCGTGATGCCCAAGTCCCGGAGTTGCTGACCTGGACAGAGGCCGAAGGTGGAGAAGGACAAGGACCGCCTGGGCGGCAACCAGCCGTGGGCTCCTCAGCCTGGCCACGGTACCCTGCCTCTCCTCCCCGCAGCCCCCTGCTTGGCTGACCGACCCTCTGACCCACAGACCAGCATGCCCATCACGGCTGAGATGCCCGTCATGGGCAGGGTGAAGCCATGCAGATGGAAGTGGTCACAGACAGACAGACAGACAGGCAGGCAGACAGACGCCTCCGGGGACTGGTGGTACCTACACCCGACTCTGGCCCCTGCAGGCGAGGGATGCCATATGCCAGCTGTGCCTAAGGCTTAATTCAACCCTTAAACCCTGCTGCTCGCTCCAGGGCTAGGACCGGGTGGGAAGGGGGGGTGAGCGGGGCTGTCCGGGGGCGGGGCAGCGTGAGGGTGGGGAGGGGGCGGGGCCGGGCGAGGGGGGGCAGGGTGGGAAGGGGTTGGAGGGATTGGGTGGGGGTGGGGACGGGGTGGAGCAGGGCTTGGGTAGGGGCCTTGATGCAGTCAAGATAGGGTTTCAGACACGCGAGCGCGCGCACACACGCACAGAAGCCCCAGAATAGTGGTCCTCAAGCCACTGGCCACCAAGAAGTATAGAGGCATCTGGCGGGAGAGATGGTACAGTGGGTTAGGGCCATGCTTTGCACATGGATTCAATTCCCGGGCATGCCTCTATGGTCCCCTGAGCACCGCCAGGAGTGATTCCTGAGTGCAGAGCCAGGAGTAACCCCTGAGCATTGCTGGGTGTGGCCTCACTCGAAAAAAAAGTGGTTGGGGGTGAGGGAGTGGACAGGGAAGAGTACAGGCGCTCTGAGTATCATAATTAATCACAACCATCCTGTTATTCGTCGATTGCCTCGAGCAGGCCCCAGTAACGTCTCCTTCGTCGTAGCCCTGAGATTTTTTTTTTTTAAAGTGCCATATTTAAGGCTCTTTCAGGGCGAGGAGAATGAGACCCATCATTGTTACTGGTATTTGGCATTTTGGGTACGCCACGGGGAGTTTGCCAGACACTGCCGTGTGGGCAGGCTACACTCGGTAGCCTGCCAGGTTGTCCAAAGTAGGAATGAGATGATAAGATGTCGCTTCCGGGAGCTGAGTGTGATAATCTCCGGATCCTGGCCGTTGTTGGGGTTACACGGCAGTTGGTGGATGTAACTGTCTAGCTACTGGCAGGTCCAGTCCCAAACCGTGCAGGCCTGGAGATCTCAGCCCCGGGTCCCACACATCTGGGTTCCTCTGCCAGTTCTTTTATGCGTGAGGCTCATCCAAGTGTGTGGAGAGTGGTCCCAGCATGGCCTTGGCTGGGGCCCGGAGGTCTTCAGCTGTTGGGCCCTGGTGGGGACAGTTAGGCACAGGGTAGGAGACTCTGCCTTGTTCTCTCCCGGGAGCTGAGCGTGATAATCTCTGGATCTCTGAGTATAAACACTTGATAATATTAAACCCTGGCCAGTGGGAAAGATAGAACGAGGGTAAAGGCACTTGCTTTGCATCTGACCCAGCAGGGATTGATCTCTGGCACTGCAGATGGTTCCCCAGGCTTCACCAGGAGTTAACGCTTAGCACAGAGCCGGGAGTTAGCCTGGAGCACTTCTGGGTGTGACCCATTAAGCAAAAATAAATACTAACCTGAATCAAATCAGACCAGTAACCACCAACTCCCCAAAGTCCGGAAAATTGGCTCGTACAGAATTCCAAGGTGAGATTGCCTACCCAGACGTGTGAAAGTTTTTCCCCAGGGACCACAGAGCAGGGTCCAAGCCGGGTCACCAAGCTCCCCTTCAAGAATCCCCATGAAGTCCTGGAGACCAGAAATGCTTGGAGGGGCTAGAGCAATGGTACAGCAGGTAGGGCATTTGCCTTGAGCACAGCCAACCCGGGTTCGAATCCCAGCATCCCATATGGTTCCCTGAGCACCACCAGGAGTAATTCCTGAGTGCATGAGCCAGGAGTAACTCCTGAGCATCTCCGGGTGTGATGTAAAAAAAAAAAGTGCTTGGAGAAGCCGGATGGGGAGTCCACATTGGGGTTGGACTACCCCCCATAACCCAGGCTCTCAGATCTTGCAAAAGGTGGACCCAGATCTCAGGAGGTCACTGGTGAATATCTTAAAACACTCATGAAACCCAGAGCCCACTCCCACCCCACCTGTCACCAGAAAACCTCCATGCCTTTGCTTTCCCCGACTCCGGGCTGCGGCTGCAGTTCTGGGCCCCCACCAGCAGCTGGCTGTGGCTCTGGTGAGATGCCCACGGCCCTACAGAACCTTTGAGAGCGGGAGGGGCGACATCCCAGACCCTGGTGCTCGGGGCTGCTTCCCAGAACTTCAATGGGATGCAGGGCAGAGTGGTGCTGAATGCAGCCATTCCCGCTGGGACTAGCTTTGCCTCCTGTTTCGTTCCCTTTATCCCAATCTGTCCCTTTGGAGGCTTCCAGGTCTGCAGGGGTGGCCCCAAGGCACCCAAGGCTTACTGCTGGGGTGGACGCCCTCCTTGAGTTCCAAACCTAATATCACACAGCAGCTTTGCCCCGGACTGACCTCACCTCTTGGATTACAGCTTCAAGCATTTTAGGTTTGTCCTTTCTTCCCTGCAGGAAGCTTAGGTTTATTGAGTTACTCCAACCACAGTGCTCCTGAGGCCCACCCAGTTTCATCAGGCACTCCCAGTTCCCCGTGTTTATCTTCTTATTTTCTTTTTGAGTCACACACGGCAATGCACAGTGGTTACTCCTGGCTCTGCACTCAGGAATGACTCTTGACGGTGCTCGGGGGACCCTATGGGATGCTGGGAATCGAACCCGGGTTGGCAGCGTGCAAGGCAAATGCCCTACCCACTGTGCTATCGCTCCAGCTCCTCCCAGCCAATTTTTAAAAAAGTAAAGTTAATGAATTACTCCATGGCTTAGAGGCCAGCCGGGCATTCTAGGGGAAAGGGCAGCTCAGATAGAGAAGGGAGCACCAAATAAAGGGTGTTGGGAGGTTCCTCTCAGGATGGGAAATGCGTGATGAGAGTAGACTATAGACTGAACAAGATTGCCACTCAATGTCTCTTTTGCAAACCACAACACCCAAAAGGAGAGAGAGGAAAGAAGGGAATGCCCTGCCACAGAGGCAGGGTGGGATGTGGGGGGGTGGGATACTGGGATCCGTGGTGGTGGGAAATGGGTACTGGTGGAGGGATGGGTGCTCGATCATTGTATAACTGAAACCCAAGCACAAAAATTTGTAAGTCTACAACTGTACCTCATGGTGTTTCACTGTCACTGTCACTGTCCTCCCGTTGTTCATCGATTTGCTCGAGAGGGCCCAGTAACGTCTCCACTGAAGACTTTGTTGTTACTGTGCTTGGCATATCGAATACGTCACGGGTAGCTTGCCAGGCTCTGCCATGCGGGCAAGATACTCTCGGTAGCTTGCCGGGCTCTCCGAGAGGGGCGGAGGAATGGAACTCGGGTTTGCCATGTTGGCTGCGTGCAAGGCAAACGCCCTACCTCTGCTATCACTCCAGCCAGTGTTTCACTAATAAAAATTAATAAATAAATAAAGTTAATGTCTGAAAAAAAAGAGAGTAGGCTGGATCTCCTGAGGGATGCCCAGGTGGAAGCGAAATTGGGGAGCACATCCTGTCGGTGGCCCAGGCTGCAGCCTCACAGCTCCCCGTAACACCCCTAGGGTCACGACGAGAAACTGGGTCAGGCTCAGTTCCCTGTAGGACCAGTTAGGTGTAGGAATAGTTGGGGACAGAGGGCACAGCCCCCACTTCTCAGTACTGGTGTGAGTCCCCCCTTGTGCCCCTGCCCAGAGACTGGCCCCAGAGAGCAGTCCCAGGGGGCAGGGCTGGAGCCAGCTGGTTGGGCTCTATGTGAGTTCTATGGTTCTGCTCTGAGCTGGAGAGTCTCTGCCCCACAGGTATCCAGTAACTGTGCCTTGCGGGCGTGGCTGATCATTGAACACAGGTGAGCACCTCTGCCAGCTAACTGCTTCCCATGGGGCAGAGGCGGGAGACCTGGGGAGCTCGGACACAGAACTGGGCACGGGTACTGTGGTTCGGCAGGAAGTCAGGTTGACCTTGCCCATCCCAAGACCACCGGCCAGGGGCATGGACAGAGCACGTGAGCCTCCTCCAAGGATCTCAGACTAGCTGGGTGCCTCCTGGGGGGGACGGGGCGTCAGAAACAGGGTGCGGGGGCTAAGTGACAGCACAGCAAGTAGGACGCTCGCCGCGTGTGCAGCTGACCTGGATGCAGTTCCCTGCACACCCTGAGATCCCCCCCCCCAAAAAAAAACCCGCCAGGAGTGATCCCTGTGCACAGAGCAGGAGGAAGCTGGGTGTGGCCCCCAAACCAAATAAACAAGAAACAGAATCAAACCAAGGGTGCAGAGTGGCTCAGGACGGGCCTG